ACTGATATCCTTGTATCATTCATTTCATCTTTCTTTTTAGTAAATCATTTTCATTTTTAGGTACATCAAAAGAGATAAGGAACGAATTGGGTATTTCTAGTTTAAACATTTAGAAGGTCATACAAAATTTGCCATTTGGTAGATGAGGCATATCCCTGATATCCTTGTAGATGAGGCATATCACTGATATCCTTGCATCACTTACCTTGTCTTTCTCTTATTTTTTTTTTTAATTTTTATAAATCATCTTCATTTTTCAGGTACATCAAAATGGTAATGGTCATAGTAGCCATTTCCCTAAAAGGAAACATTTGGCATTCATTGACCAAACAGCCAGTCCTGCTTTTGGTTGGAATTAGTAAAATCTTTCTCTTGAAACAATTTTTCTGTGAAACAGGTTTTCAAGTCCAACAGCTGTTCTTCCTATTTCCAGTACTGATGGGTTCCTTTCTAACCTTTTATATAAAGTAGTGTGGAATGTTAACATTTTGATTATGTCATTATTTTCTCTTTAGTTACATGTGCTATCCCTTTTAGAGGTTTCTGCTGTTGGTAGTCTTCAAGTGATGTGGTTTCTGTTATTTGGTACAGTTCTTTGTGATTCTGTAGCATCAGTCTACAATCTTTAAAGAAGGATGATATTTACCAAAATTAGGCTTCACTTCCTCAAAGCTTTTTTAAACTATTGATCTTAGAAAGCAGTTGTATACACAGTTGTCAGTTTAGATATATATCTGAACGGATTTGGCATCATTCATGGCAGCCATATAAAAGTCTTGATCTGACATGCCTATTTAAGAACATGACTAGAATTTTCAGGTTGATGTTTTGGTTTTGTAGTAATTTGCTGTCTTGGGTGAAACTAGGTCTGGCATAGCTTATTCTATGTTCAATTTCCTTTTCTCCTAGACTAAATTTGTTATAACTGATCCATAAAAGAGATAAGGAATGAATTGGCATTTCTAGTTTGAATATTTTAAAGGTCATAAAAAATTGCTATTTGGTAGACAAAGCATGTCACTGATATCCTTGTATCATCAACCTTGTCTATCTTCCTGTATTTAAATGATTTTTTTAGATTAATCAAGAGAGAAGGTTTAATATGACTTTAATTCTCTGCCTGTCCATTTGTACAGTTGGGCATCTCTTTTTCTATGTTTATTAATATTATTATCTCCTTATTCTTTTTTCTTACATTTTTTTTTTTTTTTTTTTTTTTTTTAGTGTTTCACCTCAAGCAAGGCGAGAAGCCACTAGGACGCAAGGGGTTACAGAAAATTTAGAGCAAGATCAGATAGGAGTGATAGAAGAAAGGATGAGGAGAAGGGTAGTGGATAGATCAAAGCAACTGGAGATGTCGATTGACATTACATATGAATAGCTGGAGATTATAGCTCTGAGAAACTGGAATAGGGAAGGGAGTTCTATTCCTCAATTTCATTATAATTACCATCTCTTTGTGTACCTCATTAACTCCCAATAATATCAACAATGATATTTTTATACTGAACAAAATTATAAATAAAATCTGTATAAATTTCAATAAAAAGGAAAACTTGAGAGTTATCCTTAGCAGTTACTACTGAGTTGGCTCTTTTCTGCTTCAGTTTAGGCTCAGGAATTTTTTTTTTCTCTCTTAAATCAGTGTATAGTATCTGTTTTGTTTGCTCTTCCTTTTTAAAAATTTTTTACTGAAGATATTTGCATCCTTATAAAAGTTAAGCTCCAGATGCAAAGTAGAATCTGCAATGTTATAGGTCCTGACTTGACATCTCTGCTATTGTCACTTTCCCACCACCATAATGTAGCTTCCCTGTGCCTTTTCTATAAATGTTTTCATGGGAATTGTTCTGATGAGCTTTCCTCTTTTCTAAGTTTAATTATAAGACAGAATAAGACCAGCCTTTCCCCCCCCCTTTTGGCCTTGCACCACATTTTTGTATTTTACAAAATAAATATTGTTTTCCTCTTTGCTAACTAGATGATGAATTTAAACATGCTACTAGATTGGTGGCAAGATCTCATCATTTTACAGTTGAAATGCCTAGATAGAACTGTAAGATCTATGCTAACAGTTTATTCTTTGGCACTTCTCGCTTCCTTAAACCTAATATCTGTACTCAGGTGTTGGAATTTTTTTGGTTATTTCTTGAATAGAGGCTCCCAGATGGTGTTCATCTCTATACTAAGTCATAACCTAACCTATACATTGATTCTTTCAGTTGTCTTATCCTCCACTATTGCTCACTTTCTATTATTATTTTGATGTAGTTCTAGAGGGGTTGGTGACCAACCTTATCCCTTCATACATGATCAGCTGTGTTTGATTTCAGTGTCTCTCCCCAGCCTTGGTTAGTGGAAGAAATGGGTAAGCTCTACAAAGGCAAATGAACTGGAGATAATTAAGTGATACAAAATATCATTTATATTGAAATATTGTAAATTAGTAACTCTGTGTGTATGCACACACACACACACACATATATATATATATATATATATATATATATATATATATATATATATATATATATATATATATATATATAAAATTTGTCACTTAACTGGTTGATTTTATATTCAGCGCCCGATTCCAGAATTTTGTAGATGAACTTCTTTGTAATCGTTGGAGCCACTCATCAAGAGGCATCAGCAATTGTGTGCTGATTTTTTTTGATTTTTGTTATTTTTATATTAAGTTAAAAAAATAATTTATGCATTTTTTATTGGTATTAGGTTGATTGTTTTTCTTCTTTTTTTGTGTGTGTGTGTTTGTGTATATGTGTATAATGTTGTGGTTATTCTTTTTATAATTTTCTTGTCTCTTTATACTCTCTCACTATTCCTTTTCCTTCTTTTTTTTCTATCTTTTGCCTCTGAGTGTCAAAGATAATGTAACAATGTTACTTCCAGTGTCATAGACACAACTTTTATTTAGGTTAATTTTTTTTAATATTCAGGAGTTAGCATATAGTTTTCTTTTAATAAGAGTTTATGACTATTCAGGTTGGTAGATGAAAATAAATATACTGTTAATGATTTAATGAAACTCTTACTTAAATATGGGTATCCACTAAAAATAATGTTTAAGTAATAAAATACACACACATATATATATATATATATATATATATATATATACACACACACACAATCAATCAAAAAGACTATTAACTTTTAAGATGCTGCTTATCAATGTAAACTGCAATATTCTTTGATGTTATTATAGTTACTTAGTTTTGTCATAAGACCACAAGTGGTGCACAGCTAGTGAAGATTGAAATCCTTACCCAAATGTAATGACCTGCAAAGTCATCTTGCTGACATCTTAGCATGCTAACCCTTATGTTACTATCGACTTAATTTTTGTCCTTGTTTTGATATAAATATTTCAGATGTCTTCTTACCAGTAAAAATTGATTGGAATCTTTTTCCAGTTTATACAGAGTGTGGCAGTAGTACTTCCCACATTTTAGACTCAAAATATGATACTTATCCTTGCAAGAAAGTTCCATACTTGTGTCCAGTTGACAGACATTAGTAAGACATTAGTGGCAATGGTATTTTCATCAAGTTAATGTTTTACCATTATGTGTTTCTGCCACATCCTGTTTCAGTTATAAATATTTTTCAAAAAGAATTTTCTATGTTTTTTTTTTTCCTTTCAGTAAGGATGACCAATTTGTGTTATCAGTGCCTATTGCACACCTGTCTACAAGAGAGCTTTAGCATTTTACAAAAGTCTCACATTCAGAACACCTGTTCTGCTGGAGTAGAACTATGTCTTATTATAGTTTAAATATTATGAAACTGAGTATTAGCTTTTGTAATGTTTATAACATTTATTTACATCATCTACAGTCAGACTATTATCCTTATCTTTGTTGTGATTATGTTTCAGCTGTTGTACACTGTGGCAAATTAACTTCCCGGGAATTTCACTCTGAATCTTCTATATCTTTTAATCTACAGGGGTAGCTTGTTCTCATTCTGCTATCCGTACCTAGGGATATCATGTCTTATTTTCTTTTTTTTAATAATGCTCAATCTAAGTCTGTGCTATCCAGCTTGGGGTTTGAACTCACCATTGCTATGCCACTAAATTCACAAATCAACATTAGATTATTGTGCTGTAGGACAGTAGTCCCGATTCTAAAACTGAGGGCTTTTAACCTAATATTTTTATTTGCCTGCCTCCTGTTTCTTTTGGTATTTGACCAATATGGAAAGGTAGACTGTACAACATGTACAAAGTTTCCTCATTACAATTTTAAAACATTGACTCTCTCTTAATTACTAAGAGATAAGCAAAGTCAAAAATGACATTGAGTAATCCAAGTACTTGTGTGACACAGTGGGTTGTGATCACCTAGTGGTTCGTCAAGTGGTGTGTAAAAAAATATTATCTGGGCCTGAAGTGACTGATGTTTTATGGTCATATCAACCAGTAAACTCAAGATGTGAGAGCTTCAAAGTAACCACTCTCTGTCCACAAGTAGTGAAAAAGGAAATAAATAAGTGATGCTAGAACAGACGGTAAGGGATACTGGTCAATGGCTGTATAAGCCCTAGGTAATGGTCAGTTGTGAGCTGTCTGTTGAAATGTAGAGGTAACCAGTGTGACAGTTAGTCAGGAGCTGTCCAGAAAGTAGAGAGTGGTAGTCAGTTTTTGCTGGTCAAAAGGAAGATTTGGTCCATTATTCTGTCAGAGAAAACAGAAGTAGCAGAAAATATATCCCAAGTGTTGCATACCTGTCCCTGGACAATACCAAGTGAATCGAGGAATAAGAACTGCAGTATATTGAAAAACAGGATTTGTGTTTTTTCTTTTTTCATCATGGTGATGGGGCTTCCACCCATATCACATTGACACACTGGTTTCTATATGATCACCAAAGTTAAGCAATGTTGAGCTGGTCAATACCTAGATGGCTGGCCCCTTTGGAATACCAGGTTCTGTAATCTTGCGTGTATGGGTGGTATAATGAGCTTACATACATATCATGTTGACACACCAGTTCCTGTATGATCACTGAAGTTAAGCAACATTGACCCCGGCCAGTACCTAGAAGGTGACCACTTTGGAATACCAGGTGTTTTAAGCTTGGATGTGTGGGTGATGTAATGGATAACTGCTTGGAATTGTTAATTAGAGAGTCATGGTTCAATTTCTGTTGGGTTATCATATTCACTTATGCACAAATACCTTTGGAAAGGTATAAATGCACCTCTTCTCCCCCCCAGTTATGGGTTAATTAGTAAGACTTGTATTATTAAACCCTCCCCAAATCTTAGAATCTAAAATATTTTCTGGCTTTAAATGACCTGCAAAGTGTTAATAAGAAAATCAATCCATCAATCATGTTGATATTACACGTTTTACTGTTTTGTTGATTAAAGCCTTTCCCATTTTTTTCACACCAACGCAGATAAGAATTGAACTATGGCATAGAACAAAAATTGATCAGTCAATGAAAAACTACCTGAGGAACCTGGCTGTATATTTGAATAAATTTATTCTTTAATATTTCAAGATATTTTTGTGTAATTTTGGTAAATATATCTGTTAAAATAAGATGTCAGTGTTATTTTCATTTTTGGGTAATTTAAACGGCAATTTATCCATCGCACCCTGTATATATATTTCCAGTATCTGAAATTACAAAATTGTATGATTAACAATTTTGTTTTATTTGTAAATTTCTGGAATGAGGAGTTATTATTTATACTTTTTACATGCAGACTATTGTCCTCATCTTTGTCATTGATATCTCAATGTTTAGACAGTTTACAAAATCTTCTGGTTTGAAGAATGCATGAAGCAGACTGTTACCATTCACTGTTGATCTCAGTGTCCACACACACACACACACACACACATATATATATATGAGTTAGGTAATGAAATGTTTGGTAATTTGCATGGATAATCCCAAGGAGGATGTAATCCAGAGAGCTCAATGTAAAAACAGAGTGAATTTTACTTAAATTAAAAAAAACGGATAACCTAGATAAGGGTCCATAGATTATATTTTATTTCCCCAGGAATGTGATTTTTTTTTCTTGTCCCTCAGATCACATTTCCAAGCATAAAAGAAAATCATATATATATATATATATATATATATATATATATATATATATATACACACACAGATATAAGTGTGAACATAAACTAAATAACGAGATATTAGCAAGTATATATGTGTGTGATAATGTACATATACAGATAAGCAAATAAATATTTATTTAATTTAAGGTGCAAACAAAACAGTGCTCAATGTAGTTAAACAGAGCTATAATGTATATATTCATAAATACACATATACCCTACATCGGTGTGTGTGTGTGTGTGTATATATATATAAAACAAAGTGATAGTAAAAAAACAAAAAGTATACAAAGTAGAAATAGTGTTCACATGCAAAAGAGATACAATCAAGCGGTGTTATAACATTCTGATTTCAAGGCAAGACAAAACAAAAATGTGTAGATAAGACTGAGAATTGTCCATTATTTTTATTGGTTAGGAAGAAATCACAGCCTGCAGTTATTTTGTTTTATTAGAAAAAAATATCTTGCATTTAATTCATGATTTTATAACACTTTGCTGTTATGAAGATTCATGAAGTAAATGCTGTTCAGATGTCATTTTTATATTGAGAATATATCCTTTGCCCTCTCAATACCTTGCCCTCTAAATTTCCACTTAAGCCAAATTTACAAGTATCAGTTTTTATCTTTTTTATTTATGTTGTTCTCTAATCTAAATACTGTTTTTGTTTTTTAAAAACTACATAATTGAAAAAATCTTTTCTCATTCAATCACTCTCTCTCTCTCTCTATATATATATATATATATATATATATATATATATATATATATATATATAAGGTAAAAAAGACAATAGAAAAACTGTATTATTAGGTGATGCATTTCAAGGCAAAAACGAAATGAATTTATTGAAAACAAAGTAACTATTCACAACAAACAAAATGTCCTTAGGAACTAGAATTTAGACAATGCTATTGTATTCATATTGTGAACTGAAAGTTATGTCCAGTACTTTCATGTTTAGAAATTTTGTTTTTATTGTTGTGTTGACAGATTCAACCATTTTCTTTCTAAATTGAACAGGATATTATAAACATAAAATATTGTATTTACTAAGCTTTCTCTGGCTCAAGGATATGGGGAACACAGTGTGATAGCCTTTGAGATCATTACTGAATATTGTAGTTAGTGTGGTGCATAAAATATTTACTTAGTTCAAATTAAATTTGCATAAACATTTTTAAAACTATATTTTAATAAATATTTAATCTGTGTTGTTTATTTTTAACTAAAATTTATATATATATATATAGCAAGATTTATATTCTTGTATTATTTTAAACTATTATTATTATTATCTTGATTGTTATAGATTTTATTATAGACACAAAATTTCAACCAAGTACCCTCTGGTCATTGTCAGGTGCCCATTTATGATATGGGATATCTGTTGATTGTTGTGACATTTTGTCCTTGTGATGTCAATTATTGTTTCTTTACTGTTGAATTGGTGCTTTAGTGTCTGATGCAAAGATTGCACTCATGACTTAGATGACAATAACACATGTGCTAACCAACTCCTATATCCACTATTTCACCATCCGAAAGGACATTAGTGGTGTGTTTTTTGGAGACTTTTATAATCAATGTCAGGTGGTTTTGGCATTTGGTTATAATGGTGGGCTCATACTGCTTTTTATAATTTAGTATTTCAATACTGAGATGTGTAATTGTCAATATTATTTCAAACTATTGTTTTGGTTGATATAGATGTCTTTATAGACATAATGTTTTGACCAAGTATCCTCTGGTCATCATCAGGTGTCCATTGATTGGCTGAAGTTGGATACCTGTTGATTATTGTGATGTTTTTTTCTGTTGAATTGGTGCTTCATGATAAAATGAATAAGGCTTCCATCAATAAAGAAGTTTTTTTTAAATTCCTTATGTTTATGTAGGAAAAAAAAATTATATCTGCCTTGTTAAAATTGTCATAAGAAAACCTACAATGTAATAAACATTGTTTTCATCTGCTATTTCATATTACTCAAATTAGTCAAATGGAGTCAAAAAATAAATAATGGAATTATCTAAATAAGTCAAAATAATTTATTTAATTACATTTTCATAAAACTATTCTGAATTGTTTAATATGTGAAAAATAGTAAGTTTGTTGAATTAATTATTATTAATATAAACATTAGAGAATTATTCAGATGTTTGTCTCATGGTTAGTTCGATGTAGCTCTGTCCAGAGCAGAAAGTTTAAGTGACATAAAGGACTTCAGAAAATAGATGTTTTGCTGAAAATGTTGTTTATGCAAAAATTTTAGAGGTAAGGGAACCTCTATGACAGTTTATCACTGTTTTTTTTGGATGGATATTTAGTTTATGTACAAAAAGATGTCAACAGCCAGTGATCCTCTGTGTAATGGTTAGGAGGTGAAACATACAACACAACTTGCTTTTTTATAGATAATATCTATCACTTTATTTGGACAATGAAGGAAAAATAATTAAAAAAAAAAACAAAAAAAAATCACTGCAGCAACCCAACTTGCTGAGAGCTCAAAATGCAAAAACAAATGCCCTATGATGGGTAGGCACTTAAATTTATTTTTTAATTACTGTATGTAGTTCCTTAGCAAAGCCACATCAGCTTGACATGTACTTATTTGGCCACATGATTTGTGATGGTTAGTGTCTAGAGGAGGCATGATGGAGTAATAGATAGCAGCTTGGATTGAGGAATCAAAGAGCTGAGTTCGAATTCCAGTTGAATCCATTACATTCACTTACATGCAAATACCCTTGGAAAAGGTATGAATCCTCGACTTCTTCCCCCAGCTATAGATAAATAGCAGGACAGACTGGGTTCTATAGCCTTGGATAGTGTTGTAGAGTAGTTTTCACAGTGGAGGCTTGTATTTCACTGAGTCAGTCCTAAACAAGGTTCGACGTACAAAACGTTAGGAACTTGAAATAATAGTTAATGACGCAGCAATCTAGTTGTGGTGGTTGATACTTTAAGATCCGACATCGACTGACTCACCAACTCCCTCTGAGCCCCCTGGCGACTTCTACTACTACTACTACTTATTATCTGTGGGAGAGTCTATTAACAATAGAATAGGTATGTTCCGGTATAACAGATAGCAACTGGCCTATTGCAGAAAGAAATGATAACCTACTGCAGGGAAAAATCTGCCTCGTCAGTCATGTATCAAAAAATACATGATTGTGTAAGCATGTATCACACATGGCATATAACTGACTGAGTGTCTTTATTATTTAGGTTGCTGATCACGTTATCCATGACCCTCTTTGTTCAAGCCATATTGCTCAATATATTACACAAGTAAACTGATTGTATCAGTCTCTCTTTTGGAACACTCATCATTGCCTGTCTTAAGTACAGTTATAAATATATAAGAATAAGAATATTTCAGACACAAACTATTGTCTTTAATATTAAATTTTGACTACTTTATCTATTATATTTTATTTACTGTTGCTATATGACTAAATTTGAATTATATCTGATTGTTAGCTATCATAGCTGAATCGGTAATATGCTGTACTGGTCAGACAGGCTCTTAAGACTGATATGAAATAAAACTTGTTAGAAGCATATTTTTTTATTCCAATTCATGCTGCTTATCTAATGGTTATGGGAATTAAAAAAAAAAAATAAAATAAAAAAGTAGAGTAATTAGCAGAAATGTTTACAATAATGAGAAGGAAAAGGACGGCAAATATAATATGAAGCAAACAATAAATTGCAAGACAAAAGCAAGCAAAGCAACAGTAATGAGGCAAAAAGTTCACAAACTAAGAATGATGTTAACATACAAAAGGGATACAGATAAATGATCGTAGCATTCTCACTTCAAGACCAGAAAGAACAGACTTAAGTTTGATGAGACTGAGAAGTGGCCTATCTTATTGGCTAAGAAGAAATCCCAGAATGCATCTGTACAGTTTGTCTATAAATTTGGTGAGGGGTTACGTTTTTGTAGGTATTCCTCTTCAACGAAAGGAAA